AATTCTGTTTCTTTCAAAGCCCCACTTCAATGCTGTTTGTTAAATACAATCTTACCCAGAGCCCTGCGTAACCATGTTGTTTTTTAGCAGAAAAATATTATAAATGATAAGCATTTTATATATTTTGTTTTGTTGGTAAACTGGTTTTGCTCTGGGAATGCCAACAACATTCAACACATTTTTCAATCAAAAAACTAACGAACCGGTTAATCGAAGTATTTGAATATTATTGTTTAGGCATTTCGAAGTAAAAGTTTGCTCTATTTGTTGATATGGGGTTATAGGAACTGAAAAATCGCTTCTGCCAAAAATGCATTAAAGTTTACTGAGTCTGGTCCCCAAAATATAGGAATTTTTGTTTAATATATTCCACATGGCTATGCAAATGACTTTGATCTTCCGTCGTGTCACTCTACTCCTATCAGTCCATCAATCCATCCGTCACATATTCATATTCAACTAGCCAACTGTCAATCAATTGGAAATATTGAATTCTTAGTGCCTGGCCCACAAACTCCCACTTTAGCCTTGGCCCAAAACAAGTTCCAGTGTGAAATTCCAGCGAATGCACAAAACTAGAGGTGGGCGCAGCTAGAACCTATCCACCAGATAAAACAATAAGCCGGCTAAATCGAGGCCGAAAGCGAAAGGGACAATTAGCAAATTGATGCTAGTAAACAGAACGGCGGAAAACCCAATCAATAGCCATAGGTAAAATATACAATGACAGGAGGAAAAAGCAAACCACGCTACGTAAATGCTGTGTGGTTGTTTGGAGCGGCCATAAATGTAGGTGCACCTGTTGCTACTTTGGAGATACACAGAAAGTGTCTGTGTGCGGCGCACATGTTTAGTATGCTGAGCGCGTGTAACTAACATTTTTGTACACAATTGAAACTTTTTTTAAATGTGTGTGAGAAAAGTATAAATTTCCGTTTTTTATAAATTCCAAGGTGGCGTCTCTCCAACGTGTTTCTGCCCCTTATAGCTACAATAAATCCCTAAAAGCATTGTAAAATCCACGCCTTCCCTGGCGGAATTCTAACACATTGTGGGATATGTTAGGCAAAAGAAAAAGTACTGAGAACCAGCACGTACTGGGAGTAGAACCCATGGAGATAGAAACGTGCATAGTTGACGCACCCGCATCTCCAGTTCTTACCTTTGTCCAGCTTTCTGCCGTGTTGCCCGTTCTGACTAGAACACAAGGCATTTAATTAAAAATACATTTATTTTAGGCATTCTGTTGGCGGACATTGTTGATTGTGTTGAGCCGCTGCTGAAGTGGGCCAACGAACTTGTGTTTTTAATGGTTCGCCGGCCACAGAATTATAGCGGTAGCGGGGAGAATGAGATTGATGAGGAAAATATAAATAAATAAAACAAGATGGAGCCTTTTTAGCCGAGTGCCGCGGCTTTGAAATACCCGGTTCTCAGCCGTAGCTCCACATATTAAAATACCTCTTTGCTTAGTTGTAGGTGCTATATAAATAGCTGTTTCAAAACATAAATTATGAGTTAAACAACGAAATGTATCATAGAAATTCAATGACATTTCCTAGATTCTGCATCTGCTAAATGAATTTCCAAATATGTAAAAAAAACCGGGTCTTTTATGAATCTGGGAAATTTAAGGAGCAAAGGAAATATTTTACAGTTTCTGTGTTACAGCAAACGCAAAAATAAAGTATATGTAGGAATGGAAAGATGCCCCTGGTGATGGGGACTCTGTCTACGTATTTCGCTTATAAATATTTCCATCTGTAATTGCTTTGATATTGCTCGTTTCGTTTATGGATTCCAAGGCAGCCAGCCCAGCCGCGTTTGTTTATTATTATCTATTTGTTTCGCCTTTATATTGTTTAGTTGTGTTTCTGTTTGTTTTCCTTCTCATCTCTACTCTCCCAATTTCAGCTGGTTGCTTTTTATGTGTGCAAAATGCTCAGAAAAAAGAGACTAATGCGAACACTTTTACCCCGTCTCGTTTAGGCACAAATTTGCATCTTTCTCGATTTAGCGAAATGACGCAACAAAGTAAAAAACTAAATTTACCAAAAGGAAATATACTACATATGGCGAGGTTATGCATAGCAGCGGCAACCTTAGTTTTTTATTTTATATCGCAATTTGTATACCATGTCCGTCTCCCCGGCTGTATGAAACAATGGATCTGGGGAACTATTTTAGCGAGAGCTACCCAATTTGGTGGCAATACTCTTATCTTTGGCACGCATATCAAACCATGAATTAATGTGTAGTAGTATTAGAAGTAAAGTTAAGTAAATATATAATCGGGTGGTAAACAGAACAAAAAAGTTCTTACATTTCCATTTTGCTCACAAACGCACCTAGACTCGTCTCGGTTGGAGAGCCGAGTCTCCAACTATAGTTTTGTTCTAAGAAGATCCAACATAATTATCCTTTATTTGTCTGACTTCAGGAACAAAGCCTTTTTAACGGGTACCACACAGTCGAGCATACTCGATGATAACTTTCTTATTTGTTGAATTTGTGTTTCTGTTTTGATGAAGCTAGACAAGTTTTGGTCATTAGCGAAATAGTTTCTGTACTATTTTAGGTCTGCGCTTTAAAAGACTTCCCATCCAGGGATTTGAGTGGTTTTTCCATAATATTATTTTAATTTAACTTCGTTATATGACAAAGGCAAGACATAAAATCCTCTTAACCTTTTTCATGCATACAGACAATCAATAACAGTCGGAGCCAAAGCGTTCACACTTTCCATTCAACCAGAGCCATTGACCCGAGCTGAAACACAGATACATTTAATGCTGGGACAAAAAGAAGGGAAAAGTGTCGCGAATTGAGAGTGAGCGAGGAAAGCAAGCTTGCGTTTAATTGCATTTTGCTGGAGAAAAGTAAAAGTCACTTATGGGAAAACTCCGACCTACCCAGACGATGTCGACAATGAGAAGGGCTCTGCAGGCGCAGCTGGGACTCCGTATTATCTCCCTCTATATTGTATGTGTCTCGGTCTAGGGCATTGTTTTTGAGCCAGATTTTCTAATTGGTTTTCGTCTGGCGCACAATGAGTAGTTGCCAAAGGGTTAAGAGACAGTGTTGCCCAAGCCAAAGGCGTTCGACGCCTGCGTTTAATTATTTGTTTGGTTGCACAGTGTAAAAGATTAAATTGTCAAAGTAAATGGAGCCAGACACGCCCCATTTCGTGGCTACTGTGTGTCGGAATCTTTTTGTACCCGTTCCCAGCCATTTTTGGCCATTCATCATGGGCTAAGACCTTTGGTAACTTGCAGCCCAGGGTTAGGGCTAGATCTCACACGCCATTAGTTTGCCGTAGTAAAGAAAAGCGCATTTCCTGCCCACAGCCAGCAATCACAATCACACAGCTTTGATGGGCCACTTCAGCTGCTCGGTGGCCGTATCTGTATCTGAGGGATCTTCTGTGTATTCTACTCATTTGACTGTGCTGTGTGCGAGAGTGCCGGCTTCATTGAGGTTGATTGATAGTTTGTTTACAAATTTAATTTCATTTTACTTGTTTTCCTTCTTTGGTCTTTTTCTTCTGTCCCGTGCAAGCCGTGTGGCATTCACCTGTGTGTCTACACCCCTCCCTTCCACTGCGCTCCTTCTTATACTTACCTGTGTTTGTCTTATGCCTCAATGTTTTTGTTTTTCCTTTTTTCAACTTGGTCAACTTGCTGCCTTTTTATGTGCTTGCCTCCTGCCTTTGGCTATTTTATATAAGGAACGCATACATAGAGATCCGAGAGGGAATGCAATACATTTGAATGTTCTCCGCTCATTTGTGCAATCCAATCACGTAGGCCCCGTAAAAAGGATGATGCCAAAAACTCTTTCGACGACTTCATTTGGCATCGCCTAATGGTTGGGCGTGGCAAGGCCAAGACTGTGGCTGTTTTTCAAAACTCTCCCCTGGGGAATTTGCTGTGGGCCTGCGTCCCCGAGTCCCAGAAGGGGCGTTTGGAAAGAGTAAAGGTCTACGAACTAGACAATTTGACATTGATTAGAGGAATTTTTGTCGAACATGGGACGTCTTGACAATCTAAAAATAAAAAATGCGGATAAAAGTATTCACTCAAATACAGCGACCTTAATTGCGTATGAAAGTTATTCAACGGTTAATAAGGGCTAGATTTTAAAATACTTTTAACTTTCAGCAGATTGTCTTTCACGTTGACAAATTGTATTAAACTTGATGGAAATAGGCAGGCGTCAGCGTGGCATTTGAAATGTATACTTATTTTCAAGATTTTTAAAGTGTTTTACTCTTCTGTGAATTCTGCTGAAAAAATTATGCTTTATTCTCTTGCCGATGTCCATCTCCCAAGCTTTCCATGTGAGGTTCTCATGATTTGCTTAAGTCGGGAACAGCAATCTCATCTAGAGCTCTGTCGTCGCCTGCTTCCCCAAAAACAATTCCCGAACTTTATCGAGCTGACTTCCTTCCTGCTTTGCCCCAAAACGAAAATAATGCAAAACGCAAACATTAGACCCCAGGTTCAAAGGGACGAAAGAGAAATCTCAATAAATCACAAGACAAAGCAAGGGTAAGGATGTGCGTCCGCAGCAGACTCTCTGCCCGAAAACCAACCATTTCCAAACTCTGATCCTAAACAGAAGTCGTGGGTCGACGGGTTCTTTGTTGATTTAACGAAAAATCACACAAGCAAGAATTTTTCCTACCATGTCCTGGGATTAGGGAACGCCGCGCCGTCACCTTGTTAACCTGCAGGCCATTAGCGTAATTCGTTTTGTGTCGCCGTTCCGCTGGCGCTTGGGAAACCCGAAAAATGTTGCGACGCGCCAGACAAACTTAATTTTGAGGTTCTCCCATGGTCCTGGCACTTCCTGCTACGCATTTTGTAAGGTTTCACGTACAGCCGCAATTATGTATTTTATTTTTCGATGACGCCGTCAAAGTGTACTTGTAAATTGTCTGGCACAAGAGAGGTGGCAGCTAAAAGATCGATCCCCAACTAAGACCTCTACAATTTCAGTGAACCTCGCCATGGACGGGTACGAATAAGTATCCCGATCAGAACGGACCAAAGAGCGAAACGTATTTCGCAGGAAGTGAGCAATTGGCTCAAAAGCAGACGAAGAAAGGAAGCAGGATGGCATCCCTACATCAGAAACGTCCCAGCATTAGCAACTGGTTCTCTTCTCTGCGCCGCCAGCCTAAGAACAAGAAGAGCTCCTCCGGCCTGGGCGGCAGCGGCAGTTTTGGCAGCAAGCAACAGTTGCAGAGGAGCTGCTTCGACCTTTCCTCCACGGCAGCGTTGGGTAGCGGTGCAGTTGATGTGGGCGTGGGCATAGGATACTCTATAGCGGGCTCGCGCGGCAGCCGAAGCAATAGTACATTCTACATTAGCCCATCTTCTGGAGGTCAGGAGGATCAGCGTCGTCTCCTGTTGGACAACGGCTGCAGTGGCAGTAGTGGCAGCAGCCTGAGCAGCGTTTGCACTCGCTGCTTTTGCAATCTCCTAACGAAAAGCGGCGAGACAAGCAAAGCCAAAGCTCCCACGCTGCAGGCGGACTCTCCCAAGATCACGCAGAAGCCGCCCGCCAAACCCCGCTCGCCCTCACTGGCCCCCTACACCAGTGTGGCCACGTACAATGTAACGAACCTCTCGCCGGACAGTCCTCCCCCAGCTAGCCCCACCTTGAGCACGGAAACCGTAAGCTGCAGCGACGTGAGCCACAAAGTCACCGAGGTGCAGCGCCTGCCCTGTGATGAGCCTAACACGGACCTCTTCAGTAGACGGGTTGAGTACAAGCATACCACTACCACAACGACCACGAGGACTATGATAGTGTCCAGACCTGTGGAGCTGTTGCTAAATCAAAAGGGCGAGATTATCGCAAGGAGGTCTCCGCGCAAAACGCGCTCCAACTCCTTGGGCTGCGTGCTGGATTCGCTAGATACCGAAACGGAGACGGAAACTAGCAGCGATGTAATGGGAATGGACAACCCCGGCCTACAACTGGACTCCGATCCCAGCTCGGGGCTTAGTTCACCTTCACCGCTGACACCCGATGCCGGCGATCTGCGCTTCATCGACGACAGCTCCAACTCACAGAGCGAGTCCGAGCGGAACTCGCTCAGCCAGAATCAACACAGAAACAACAACAACAACCATATCAACAATAACAACAACAATAACAGCAAACGGAGCAGCCAGCAATCGAATCTCTGCGAGAGTTGTCGCACACTCCTCGAGCGAAACCGCAGCAATGCGGAGCAGAGGGAGAGTAATGTGATCCTCAGGCGACCGGGAAAGGTATGCAGGGACGGAGAGGTGGGGATTGGGAAAGTTGTCAAAGCAAATCAATTGTTGTAATACCTTGACAAAGTATGAATATGATTTCCTTGAATGTTGTTATACGGGAATTTAATGATGGAAAGTTCGGGCACCGGTAAGAGACTCAACAGTCCTGGGGATGTACATATATCAAAAAAAAAGTCAGACAAAAATATCGTTCTTGATATCATATCGAATATTATATAGACTTTAATATATAAAATAATTATACTTTATTTATTTGTATTTTTTCGAGATTGCCATATTGGTTTGATCAAACGGATCGTGTCCTTTATCGATACATTAACGATATTTTCTGGGAGAACCAAAACTATCTTCTGATATTTCGACCCGCTGATACCAAATGCGTTGTTTGTCTCATCAAATCCTACGAAAGAATATATACATATATTTCTATAAAAAAAACCCCCGATACTGTTAGGGTTAGGGTTAGGTAAATCCGAATTCGAGGTTTGTTTGACTCCAATGGGTTCGGGTTTCAGGCTTTTTAATTTTAAGAATAAATTAATTTGACTGAAATGCCTTCGCATCAAAAACTAATTCATTTCCCATTAATTTTCAACTTCATTATTTCATATTCCAAATACGCAAACAGGTTTCCTCCGCTCACGACACTTGTTGCTGATCTGTGGGAATTCCTCGATTCGACGCTTATTTTTTCTAACTTTGGATCAAAGCATGGCTTCAAGTTTATTTTTAAATGTTGTAGCTCATTAACGCCATGTTTCCCTCCCACTCGCTCTTTCTCACTTTTAACATTTGAGTGTATTCTTTTTTGATTGGAGGTGTACAAAATTGATAGCAGGACTCAAAATTACCGGCTGTGTCCTAAAATGGTATCAAGAAGTTGAATAGGTGCATCCTGTTCAAATGGAGGCAGCTTAGAGACGATTCGTATATCTATACACATAATAAAAATACCTCATCACTGGATAAAAATAGCGCCATGCGGATTATAATTTTCAACAAACATGTTATTGGAGAGTTCTTTGTGACAAGCTCTAAAGTTCCACGAAATCATTGAGTGCCAAGTCAGTTATAAGTCTTGACACCGTTGGAATCTCTGCTGAGACAATTCACAATAGCAGCGAATAAATTCAAAAATTCACAGCGTCTCCAGTTAGAATTTCAATTTCATAGGCACGGCTGAAGGTCCCGATGATGACCTCACTGCAGATGCACATGTGCGTTGGGTCTATATTACAGGCACTTGACAAATTTGTCAATTGTATTTTATGACGCTTAATTAACATTTCTCCCTTCGGATTCAGATGCTCTGCGTGCCCGTCCAATGAGTCAGAAGGTCGCTCACTCATTGGGCCTGGGCTGTGAACGCCGAGTAGGGGCAATTGATATGTTCCGGTCCCGTGGCTCTAGCTATTCATGCGTCAACTCAACGCTGTAGAAGCTGTAAGATCTATACTATACACTTTCCGCACAAACTTAACGTTCCGCGTCTTTAGGCATCAAACTAAATTGGCGCTTTATTTTTTCTTCTTCTGAATGACCCCTATGCTGAATAGAACCACCGGCGATGTCTCCGGTTCAGTGTCAGGTAGTTCCCTAATTTAATTAAACCAACACTGAATTGAGTGGTTTGGCTTTGCTTTATTTTTCCAATTTTCGTATTTTTAGCTCTGGAAAGCGGACAAATTTGAAAATAGTTTCGAGCGAGTTGAGGTCGTCGTTGTCACAGCGCGTGTGGCGCCAGTCGAGTGTCGATTCAACGCGCGGCACTGGGGAAATGCAAATTTTACTCGGGTTTAGAATTTATGGATTATGGGATGTTTTGTTATTTATAAATTTTTCAGTAGTCAGTCACTTAAACTGAAACCGAGCGCACTAACTGGGAAATGCATATTCACATATTTATATGCAGCACTTCCTTCGTTTATTTTTGACTCTCCAGCTGCGCATACAATGAGTTTTATTGACCTGTGCGTTTCTCATTGTATCTTTTAGCAAATCAAAGATGAGTTGTGTGAGGTTGTCTCCGAAATGGAGGCGCTGGACGTGCCAGAAGACTGCAAGCATTCCAATAAGGACAAACAGATGTCAATTGGCCGGAAAAAGTTCAATATGGATCCGAAGAAAGGTGAGTTAAAACTATTTAAAAATATAATAAAATATAACTTTTAAGGAGGGAAATGAAATGCTGTACTCTTGTTCGCTGGCGCGTGTAATTTCCATGATGATTCATTGGCAATTTAAATTCAAATGAGTAAATGCAATTTGAGAGGTTCTTCCCATACAATCTGGGGAAAAGGGAGTGTCTCGAAGTGTCGTAAAAATGTAAAACTTTATCGACTTGCGATTATTTTAATACATTCTCAGTAATGGCGGTGGGGCAACACCCAAAAAAATTGAAAATAAAGTCAGCCAAAATGCTTTATAATTGAGCTGATGAGTGACAGGAGGGCAGACAGCACCACAGAAATGGTGTGGCGCCGGGGAAAATTCTCAAACTGAAGCTCAACGAAGCCTTGAAGCGTGCTCTGGCGTCAATAAACGATATTATCATGCAAATAGTTAGGGAAGGGGCGTTTCCACAATGACGACTTCAACGATAATATGAACTGTACAATATAAAGAGGCAGACGGGCCAAACTAAACAGTTCATAACATTTTTAGTTAACTATAAAATGAGTTCCACAAATTACTTTCGTTACGTTTTTAAGCCTTGGAATATATCTTATAAATGTGCTAACTCAGGCTCTGTTCACTTATCACTCTTTTCTAAATCCTATTTTGACCTTTTCGCAAGGCTCCACGAAAGACTCTCGGTATTTTTGTTTTCCATTTTTAAAAAATGTAGAACAATATCGATATAACTTTGGGGAATTTAGGTGAGATACACATGACACCGTGTTTGCCTTGTTATCCATGCCGAAAGCATCTCCATATCGCCGCGCCGCTCCCGTTTAAAGCTAATCAAATATTTACGTCAAGCTCTTACTTGGCCATAAATTAACGTCGACAAGTCTAATTTAGGCCACGCAGCTTCCCACAAAAGACATCAGCATCCTGCCGAGCACTCCGGCTAAAAAGAGGGCGCACAATAAAAATGCTAATCCGAACAGGGGGGCATATAGTTGGCGCTGTCTCTGGGCTTTGGTGATGGGAATAACAAAAGCCCATTCGAATCCCAGAGTCTGCATGTTCTGTTGCCGTCGCTTATTAAAAAACTTCCACACGCCAGTATGTGCCACAGGACGGCAGGAGTGGTCCTGCTGGCACTAGTGGTGGTGGTTGTGGTGGTGTCATCACCATTTGTCGCTTTATCGGCCGATTATCAGAAATAAACGCAAACCAAAAACCCACACCAGGCCGTTAAGTTAATAGCACACAAATGTGCCATCCGTAGCGCACAAATAATGTCCAGAATTGGAGGTGGCACTGGGGAGGAATGGTCGCCGACATGGTGTTGTTGTTAATCGCGCGTGCTGCTTCCGAAGTCACGCAAAACTTTCTCAGGTCGGGAAAAACAGTGCCGGATTTCTTGAATTAAGGGGTCTTAATCAATCAGGGCCAATGTTATGTATCACCGATGTTTAAATATGTACCCTGATATCTAGTTTAATTTGAAAATACAATTTTTGCCATACATTGTTATGAATGCCTTTTTCTTCCATGCCGTATTGCCATGCTTATTGATAGGCAAATAATGACATCGTACCTAAGTTATCCTTATTTCATCGTTATTGAGATTGCCGTCTTTTATGCTGACGGTCTCTGGTTCTGAATTCAACCATTTATGCCCACATATGTGGTACAATGTATCTGTTTTCGCTGTATCTGTTCTTCACTGTCTAACAATATCCCCTTCGATATATTTCAGGCATCGAGTATTTGGTAGAGAACAGACTGCTTCGTCACGATCCCCAGGATGTGGCGCATTTCCTTTACAAAGGCGAGGGCCTCAATAAGACGGCCATAGGTGAGTGCGAATCCAGAAGCTCTTATTATTACAGCGGCCTTTCTGTAATGGCGTTATCATAAACGAAACGAAAACAGAAAAAATCAATTAAACGCACCGCAAAAACGAGACTAATGACTATTTTCTTTTCCAGGCGATTACCTCGGTGAAAAAAACGATTTCAACGAGGATGTGCTGAAAGCCTTTGTGGCGCTCCACGACTTTACAAATCTCATTTTAGTGCAGGCCTTAAGGTGGGTGGTCGCCGACAGTAGCACCTTAGTTAGCTACAGTAAATGTCACCCTTTTCACTGTTATCCCACTCCCTTCGCAGACAATTCCTTTGGTCGTTTCGGTTGCCGGGCGAGGCGCAAAAGATCGACCGCATGATGGAGTGCTTTGCCCAGCGGTATTGCCAACTCAATCCGGATATATTCACAAACACGGATACCTGCTATGTGCTCAGCTTTGCTATTATAATGCTCAATACTTCTCTGCACAACCCATCGGTAAGTAATGCCACATACCAATATTTTATAAATAAAAGATGACTTCATATGTAAGGGAAATAATAATAACGACACAAATAAAAGCACCACTTGAGTACCTCGGGAAACGTATCTTCTAACGAATACAATATATTTTTATACCCTTGCAGGGTATTATAATTTCAGTCAGAAGTTTGCAACGCAGTGAAGGAGACGTTTCCGACCCTATAAAGTATATATATTCTTGATCAGCATCAACAGCCGAGTCGATCTAGCCATGTCCGTCTGTCCGTCTGTCCGTCTGTCCGTCTGTCCGTCTGTCCGTCTGTCTGTCTGTCTGTTTCTACGCAAACTAGTCCCTCAGTTTTAAAGCTATCTGAATGAAACTTTGCATATAGTCTTCTATATACTCTCACTGCTATATATGTCGGAACGGGCCGGATCGGACGACTATATCATATAGCTGCCATACAAATGTACGATACATTTCTAGAAAAAAATTTATAACTTTGCTGTTTTTCAAAATTTTTGCTCCATTTTTTAGATATGGCCATTTTATATTATTTCTAAATTTTGGTAAAAAATTTATGCAAATCGGCCGACTACATCATATAGCTGCCATAGGAACGATCGAGAAATAAATAGGAAAAAAATTATAGCTTCGTTGTTTTTCATCGTATGTTTATCTACTCTGAGGTATAAGCTTTTTTTATTATTCTAGAATTTTGGTATAAATTTCATAAAAATCGGACAACTATATCATACAGCTGCCATATAAACGATCTGTAAATGTAGAGAAAATGTAAAGCTGGGAATGTAAAACTGTAACTGTCAAACTGTAAACATAATAAGTATAGGTAAAATGTAATGAAACTCTGTTTTTGTAAGTGTTTTCAGCATTTAAATCTATAATATAAACATAAAAACCAATCTGCAAGGGTATACAAACTTCGGCGTGCCGAAGTTAGCTTCCTTTCTTGTTTTTTATATCGTCTGATTCTGTGGACAGTTAGAATGTACACGGTAGTGATGCAAGTTCGACGGAAAACCTCGATATTTTTTCAAAATAGACCATCGATGTCTATCTTAACATCGGTATAAAAAAAAAACATATGAAAATATCGCTAAAAACATCGATGTTCGATGCATCGATTAATTTTGTAGTAGATTACCAAAAGGCTTAATTCTATTATTTTATTTGTGAGTAAAAACTGCAAACAAGCATCCGTAGTTATTATATATTTTGTTCTTATTTTTTAAATATGAAATGGCATAATTTTAAATTATAAAAATATTGATGGTTCCATAGGACTTTTCCATTTTGTTTGAAATTATCAGAGCTCGCAGGGTTGAGTCCCGATTTCCAAAAAGGTCTCAACATTAAGGTTACGTAACCGGTTAGCCGCGAAAAGACTCAACGAGACATCTGCCATGGGCACTTTTCCTATTCTCTCTCGGTTGAAGCGGAGAGAGCGGGCTCGTTGTCTGAAGTGTGACCGGTCTCTTCGCGGAAAGTTCTCGCTGTTAATTTGTACATTTCGCGTAGCGTCAGTTAATTGTTTGCACAATTTTTTCATTTTTGACAACAAACATTTAAAAATGTAAATGATTAAATTAAATTAAATTAAATGATTAAAATAAATAGCAAATGAAACAAAAAGAAAAAAAAAAAACATTTAACACAAACTTGAGTTTATTTCTTTATTAATTTGTGTTTAAATTGTTTGAAGACTATATTTTTAATTTTTCGTAAAAATACAAATGCTTCATCCCTCTCCCTCTCTCTCAGGCGCTCTTTTCGACTCAGAAGCGAGCGAGTAGTTTCTTTGCCGCTTCGTTTCCCGAAAGCTTTGTCTTTGCGATCTCCCGTTACAGTTAACCGGAATCGCAAACAAAGCAAAGAAGCGAGAACATCTGCGAGAGAGACCCTTTTCAGGCTATTTGGTTGTTTCTCTCTCCGAAAGAATTCGAATGATCAAAACGGTTGACCGTTTGTGCGAGCTCTGGAAATTATAAAATAGGAAAAAAGATAAAAAAAATCGTTTATAGTCTTTCAATTTGTTAGATATTATCCATAGGCACAAAAACTTAAAAATAACATCGATGCATCGGTTAACATCGATAGCATCTCAAAAACATCGAAACACCTCTAAAAACATCGCTAAAAAACATGGATGCTCAAGCATCGAAACCAACTTTTTTTTTGGGATGGCACTCGGGAGATTCCCTATTACTCCTTGACCTCTAAATATATATCATATATTATTATTTATTTACTTTAAGTGTTGTGTTAATATATGGCATTATTTTAGAAAAATTACTTGTTTTGAACTGAATTAACCATAGCAATCAGAATGGGGCAATTGACATTATATTTTCATTTGTCAACATACTTATCGTGTTCGATATTTTCGAATAATCCTAGCCCTGCGATAGCTAATGTTTTTAAGTGCATTGATTCATTGTTTTGTATCTTGGTATCTTTTTATCTATACAGATATTAACTAAAGGAGTAGTTACTAAATATACGTTAAAATGAACTCTTAAAAAATGCAAACTTCTCTAATTTATATTTATGTTTAATTGTTGAGCTTTATTGTTCTCTGGTATCTGGAAGTAACATTAATATATTTATAATTTTACTGTGCAGGTTAAAGACAAGCCAACCGTTGAGCAATTTATCTCAATGAATCGTGGCATCAACAACGGCGGTGACTTGCCACGGGGCCTGCTGGAGTCCCTCTACGAGTCCATTCGAACCGAGCCATTCAAAATACCCCAGGACGATGGCAATGATCTGATGCACACCTTCTTCAATCCCGACAAGGAGGGCTGGCTATGGAAGCAAGGCGGCAGGTGAGTCGTCAATATTCATTTGTCGGTAGCACGAGCTAATGGGTTATAACAATTTCTACCAAAGATACAAATCGTGGAAGCGACGCTGGTTCATTTTGAACGACAATTGCCTGTACTACTTTGAATACACCACCGACAAGGAGCCACGCGGCATCATACCTTTGGAGAACATATCGGTGCGGGAGATTCACGACCGCAGCAAACCGCATTGCTTTGAATTGTTTGCAACCGGGGGCGCCGACATAATCAAGGCCTGCAAGACTGACTCCGAGGGCAAGGTAGGTGGCCACTCTTCACTGACTCGAGTATTTTTACTAACTGGTTTCGTTCTTTGTTACATTTACGTGGCATAGGTGGTGGAGGGCAAGCATACTGTGTACCGCATGTCCGCCGCAACGGAGGAGGACCAACAGGAGTGGATCAAGCGACTGACGCAGTCTATTAGCCATAATCCGTTCTACGACATCCTAGTACAAAGAAAGAAGAAGGCGCTAAGCAAGAGTTAATATTACGGTCGGACCTCTCGCTCGGCGCGTCCCTTTTGTCTCTCGGATCTCAGTGAATCTTTTGCTAAGCGTGTGTGGTGTGCCGCCCCTCTTCCTATTTATACGTACATCCCGAATATTATAAATCTAACACAGTGTTTGTGAAAACTTCCCCGTCAAACCAATGCCTGTAATTAGTTAGTTTACCGTGTGTGGCTTCTCGTGCCCAAACATTTGTCCTAGTATTCAGTTTGATCGACTCGAAACGAGCCATCACACGCCGACGCTCTTCGAACCATTAAAACTTTTGTCTCTATTGTTGTGATATATAATTTATTTACATTAGGAATTAACGATAATATGGTATGAAAAGCATCAAGTTGCATCAATAGGAAATACATTTGTAAAACCATTTTCATTAGTGCAAATTATTGTTTAGTTTTATTTGTACGTTAAAGTCTACGAGTATGTGTTTAGCATTTTTCTTACCACCTAAGTTAAATCCCACCCACACTCTATATGTAGATATCCTTAGTTCTATTGAAGAAATCCCATATCTATCCCATAATTGGTTTAGGTTAAAGCAACTCAGTAGTGTTGGTTGGCAATTGTCGGTTGACCAACTACTGTGAGAGGTTTGCACCAGGCATTTCGGAAAACAACGAATCCCATTTAAATGTGTAAAAGTTTAACTATTAAATTAACAGATCCCAGTGTAGAGAACGGTAACGGTACTGCGACGAAACTGTTGTATAAAATCAGCCAAAGATTATTATTATTATGCAACACGTCAACGAATGCGTCCTAGGATGCATTATTTCGTAAAATGCTTCTCTGGAGATTTAGTTAATTTAAACAGTAGGAAACCAGCCATACACACAGCTTAAAAAAATGATACTTTGCGAGTGCCGATATAGAAAACAATCTGTAAATAAGAAATGTTGGCTTCCCAAAATTCATTTGCGGCATCTATCTTATGGTAGCCATAAGATGCTGTTATTTGAAGTAATAATATTGAAACTGTATGTCGAGCCTCTGTGATTTGTGCCTTGACGAGTGTGTATGAAGTCCGCCTACCCTGATCACAAGGCTGGTTTCGTCTCGAGACTGAGGGATAAACTTGTTCGCATGCACCTTGAATGACATTTACCATTTAACCCTTCGGATTTGCTTTTCCTATGAATTGTTTGCAAACACAGCAGTCCTCTTAATACGTTTGCAATATTACCAATAATTTTGCCAACTCAACATCTCTACTACTCTTTATGCGATAAACTTACTTTATTCAGTGCGTACAGAATTAATGAATAATTTGTAGCGACAGTGAATCGAATTGCGTAGGTGATCGGTGTGTATGCCTGTGAATATGTGCGTTTTAGCATTACTGAACCCAAACAAATTAATAATTTTGTACATATTGAAGGGATGATTGCTTGTTGTACAATATTAACGTAAGCCATTAATTATAGTTTAGAATTTTGTATTGCTTTAGCATATAAAAATAAACATTTATACAAAATATTAAATAAAGTTTATTAAATATAATGAAAAAGAACCCTTGCTTTTTAATGGGAAAATGACTATAAATCAACTTGCATAGAAGATTGGTTGTATATCTTTATAGGCAAATTCTCAAAATTGTTTTAATTTTTTTCACTAGTAACATGACAAAAAGTAATTATTCAAGATTCGAATATTTTGAAGACGTATTTCAACAAAATATTTCTCTAAGTAGTATATAGTAAATACTGACACCATTATTTTCCTGATTTTTGCTATTCTCGTTAAGATAAACCGATTACTCTTATAGCACTAGTCGTTCGGTTTTGATCACAATTTCATATATATAATGTCAAATGACAATCTACATCTTGGAACACTTGTTGAATTGTTGAGTTGATACGGAAATTATAAGTCATAATTAAAATAGACTCCGAGTATTTAAAATAGGAAAGGAAGCTAACTTTGGTATGCCAAAGATTGTATACCCTTGCAGATTGCAATTGGATCATTAAGAATCGAGCCATTCTGGTTAAATAATTCGGGAAAAAAAATAAAAGAACATATATAAAAGTTGTATATTTATACATAGCATAAATAAAATGCTAAAAACACACACAAATCAGAGTTTCATTACATTTTACCTATACTTATTACGTTCACTGTTTGAGAGTTACAGTTTTACATTCCCACCTTACATTTTCTTTACATCTACCGATCGTTTCTATGGCTATAAGATATTGTCGTCCGATTTTCATTACAAACGAAATTCTGAAATAATATAAAATGGCCAAATCTAAAAAATTGTGCAAAAATGTTGAAAAACAGCCAAGTTATAATTTTGTTTTCTAAAAATTTATCGAATTTGTATGGCAGCTATACAATATAGTCGTCCGATCCTGCCTGTGCTGACATATGTATATAGCAGTGAGAGCATTCATTCAGAAACTTTTAAAACTGAGGGAATAGTCGACTCGACTGTTGATGCTGTTCAAGAATATATATACTTTATAGGGTCGGAAAGGTCTCCTTCACTGCGTTGCAAACTTCTGACTGAAATTATAATACCCTGCAAGGGTATAATAAGGAAATTGAGACATTTCTTTGGGAAAGGACTGAATAGAAATGCTACATGAATCTATTTACAAAGTAAAGTTTTTTCCTTAGAATATTCCTTCCGAACTCGCAAATTTTTTCATTATTCTATATTAAGCCAAAGTCGACTTCCATTTATGTATATAATTGGCGCAAGTGTTGCTTTTGAAACTTTTCAAGAAACTTAAAAAAGTTAAGGAATTCACACGTGATGAATACAGAAGCCACTTTTGCGGCGAGCTGTTTAAAAACTGATTTAATGTACGTTCTTGTGATATTAATTTCAATCAGAAATATATAGTTTATTTTATATGTAATTTGAATCCCTGTTAAGTAAACTTGAAGAGTATACTTGAGTTTTCGTTCGACTGTTTGCTAGTGATGTAAGAAAAAAATCAAAAGCACAATGCTCTATGATTTTGATCACCAAAATAATAAAAATACGTGTTTTCTTAAATTCTCTCTTTACATTTTGTCAATGTGGATTAATTGAAATACTTCTTAAGGTGACTATATTCAAAACAAAGAGTTTAGAGAGTTTTAGTGTTTTTACATAAGTTATGAACAAATAGAAACAACTCTCAAAGAGGTTAGATAAGAGAGGCTATAACACCTTCAATTCCAACAATTCCTGATATATTCATTTACACATTATTTAAATAGATTTTAATACTTTCCAGCTTAGAGCCGAATTATTATTTTAAAATAGTAAATAGGAACTAATTTCAGATTACACGTAAGTTTAATGATAACGGAATAGACATATGCCAATCTATATACGTATATAAAACGTTTTGTCCGTATCTCCGACCTATATTTAAAAAGAACTCAACTATTCAAGCTCAAATTTTGACACACTATAGAGTCAAGATTTATTTAATATTTGCCTTTATATGTTTCTATATAATAAATATAAATTTAAAAGTGTTATTTTAAAATCGTAGAAATAAATATAAATCGAAGTAGATGGAAATGAGTTAAAAGCAAAGATCTAAACTAGGTTGCATATATACGGAAATTGAATTTGCTAATGGGGTTCAAAAATATAGATTTGGAAATTTGTAGCAGTATCCTTATGATACCTATAAGGTTGCAAATGTAAGTTAAAAAGTCGGTGAAATCGAAGCAATGAATTATTGAATACGTTACAAAATATACATATAAAATATATACAAGAATATAAATATTGAAATTATATAATATATAATATAGATTTGGAAATGACTACTTCACTGCGTAGTAGTATCCTTATGATACCTACAGGGTGCGCCATCTTTTATGTCTGTAAGTCAACATTGAATATCTTTGTCATTAGTGAACCGATTGACTTGAGTAGACTACTGTTGAAAACCTTAGTTCAACACAATTTAAATCATGAATCGATTTACTCCGAAAGACCGCGCTTAAATAGTGACGCTTCACATTGAAAATAGTCGTTCAGTTGTGTTGACTCAAAAAACTCAAAAAAGGCGATATCGATGGGCAACCCAGATCTCCAGATTTGACGCCTCCGGACTTTTTCTTGTGGGGATATTTAAAAAGCAAAGTTTTCGCCAGCAAGCCCAAACCATTGACGAGCTCAAGACAAATATTCGAGTAAAAATCATCGCTATACAACCTGAAATGCTAGAAAAAGGGACGAGCACTTGATTGATGTTGTTTTCCAAAATTAGTCTGAAGAAATTGTACTGAACCAAATTAAATAAATATATCTACATGAAAATCGGTTGTTTATTTTTAAAGATGTTCAATGTTAACATACCGACATAAAAAATGGCGCACCCTGTATAAGGTTGCAAATGTAAGTTGAAATGTTGGTGAAATCGAAGCAATTAATTATTGAATATGTTACAAAATATACATAATAAATATATACAAGAATTTGAATATTGAGTCTCCCACCAAAATCTATTCGAATCCTCCCAAGTTTTGAACTTAAATGAAAGACGCCCTTTCAATATTAGTTATTTATTCCACAATTCTTTTAAATTCTTACAATATTTCGGATCGACTATGCAGCGTCATAGCCCGGATCCTTGCAGTACGATAGTATTGGAGTGAATGGGGTTGTGAGAGAGTGGTAACATGTCTGTCTGTGTCTGTATGTATTTAACATTGGTTATGGCTGCGTTGCTTTTATATATTTATCGCTATTACGTTTTCCTTAACAGCTTATTTTTATTCATAAATGCTCTTAACACTCAGGAGATTCACTTCCGTGTTAATTGAGTTCATGTTGTATGTATATTTATAGTTTAGCTAAGTATCTGCTAACATGCTGCTTTTAATTATTATTTAATTATTCGCTATGTTAGGGTTTATAAAACAATTTATTCATAAAAAACTAATTACAAATAGGCGCACATATGTATGTATGCAATATAGTTCATCTTTTGTTTAAATTACTTAGTAAGCCTTTAAATAAATTCTCGATTTAGTGCTGATTCGAATTATTTACAATATTCTTGGTGGCGAATTGATAAATGTAGAACGGAGGAAAATTTAGAGACATAATTTGACAGTGAAATAGTCATATGTGCATATCCATAGAGTGGCAATACCTCTCATTAGCAGTAATATTTACACGTTTCGTATTCGTATTCGTATTCAATCGTTTTAGGTAACAGTGCGGGTTTCTTTTCGCTCTTACAATCTAAATGCATGCGTCATGGGCTTACCGATTCAGCGTATTCGTTTGTGTTTAATATTAATCTGAGTTATTGGCTAGACATTTCAACTACTTCTTGAATCAGCAATGAATTGAATCATCCGTGATGGCCTCACACTCGGGATTCCTCGCATACGTTATGTAGTGTGCTGGCAGCTCCCTTGCAAATTGACTTGCATTAATACATGAATTTAGAATCTTAGTCTATTCCGATAGGTAGTCGCTTGCTGCAGCAGTTTTTAGTACGTTTCGAGTCATTCACGTTTAAGGATTTAATTGCTTAAAGCAAATCTGCTGCCGACGACCAGTTCGCTTCACAAATTCTGAAGCCCACTGACTTGCCAGAGGACACTTGCCTGGGGCAAACCTAACAATTTTGTTTGCTTATTATGGATATAAATATAAATATATTATGCTTTCCCGCCGGGTTGCAAACAATGAAAGTAAGTTAATGTTGATTGTGCAAAACATTTGAAATAAAACCGAATTATATTTAACTATGTTTGTCCTAGACTCAGTACGAAAATAAACTAGAACTAGTGCTATTGCGGGTTCTGCTGGAAATACATAAGTTTGCATAAGTTTAACTTTATATCTTGCTACAGTTCTCAATATTTACGGTACTTAGAGTAATTGCTTGCAGAATTCGATAATTAGATCGCTCATTGGGAGCTAATGGGTTATATATTTATCGGGCTGCTGCTGCTGCTGCTGACAGGACCCGCAGCACTTCTCCTTGTAGCGATGAAGTCGGCACAGGCCCATGGCACGCGCATTCCGGCAATAGCGCGAGGAGTCGCGACATTGGAACGAGGACGACACTGCAGATGAGATAAAATACAATTACAATTTTGTACGGTCTTATAGATAAACGATCAATAGTTACTTTTGGCCTGGCAGGACGGACTTTTGCAGATTTTCATGACCGCGGGTCGGGGCTGATGCTTGCACACATTGCCTGCCGGCCGGCGACTCCCATACCAGACGCACTGGAGGATGCGGTACTTGATACCTTGGCGGCCACACGGGGCGTTGCACTGCGGGTCGTGGAGGTTTAAGTGAATATCTGTGTTGGACAACTAACGAGCAGATCAGGACTCACCTCTGACCAGGGCTCCACGCGCCAAACGCCCTTGCAGCGCTCGTTGTAGCACTCCTGACGCATGACCGGACGCTCGTACTCATCGCAGGCACTTCCAGCCGTCCCGTTCTCGTGTCGGCAGGCCACCTCGCGGCGCTGCACGGCCGTGTTCTTGCCGTGGCAGCGGGACTGCTGGCAGAGCGACCACTCG